AAGCGATCAATAAATTGAAATTATTATTATTATTATTATTATTATTATTATTATTATTATTATTATTATTATTATTATTATTATTATTATTATTATTATTATTATTATTATTATTATTATTATTATTATTATTATTATTATTATTATTATTATTATTATTATTATTATTATTATTATTATTATTATTATTATTATTATTATTATTATTATTATTATTATTATTATTATTATTATTATTATTATTATTATTATTATTATTATTATTATTATTATTATTATTATTATTATTATTATTATTATTATTATTATTATTATTATTATTATTATTATTATTATTATTATTATTATTATTATTATTATTATTATTATTATTATTATTATTATTATTATTATTATTATTATTATTATTATTATTATTATTATTATTATTATTATTATTATTATTATTATTATTATTATTATTATTATTATTATTATTATTATTATTATTATTATTATTATTATTATTATTATTATTATTATTATTATTATTATTATTATTATTATTATTATTATTATTCCAGTGTTCTGGCCCCACTGCTGGACCTCCTGATGGTACCTGGTATTTTTGGCCACTGTGTTGGGCTGGATGGGCCATTGGCTTGATCCAACACTGGCTTCTCTTCTGTTCTTAGGAACTCTCGGTCTGGGGCAAGGGATGCTCTGTCTTCTTGGTGCTTGGGGGGGGCAACAGTGGGAGGGCTTCTATTGTCCTGGCCCCGCTGGTGGACCTCCTGAGGGCACCTGGTATTTCTGGCCACTGTGTGACACAGAGTGTTGGACTGGATGGGCCACTGGCCTGATCCAACATTGGCTTCTCTTCTGTTCTCTTATTTTCTTATGTTCACTAAAAAGACAAAGCAGTTGGTTTTCGTTCAGATCAAGCCTGAACTCTCCCTAGAAGCTATAAACTGAGGTTATTGTAATTTGGTCCCCTTATGAGAAGACGAGAGCCACTGGGAAAGACAGTCATGCGAGGAAAAGCGGAAGGCAACAGGGAAAGAGGAAGACCCAACGTCAGAAGGATGGACTCTGTCAAGGAAGCCACAAAGGCCCTCCGTTTGCAAGACCTGAGCAAGGCTGGTTAACGAGGGGACGTTTTGGAGGACACTAATTAATAAGGAGCTGCGGTGGCTCAAGTGGTTAAGACGCTGAACTGCAGGCTGTGGAAGGTCGGTAGTTCAGCAGTTCGAGACCCAAGTGTGCCACATGATGGAGTGAGCTCCCATCTCTAGTTCCAGGTCCTGCCAACCTAGCAGTTCGAAAGCAAGAAATTGCAAGTAGATAAATAGGTACCACTTCGGTGGGAACAGCGTTCTGTGCGCCTTGGTGTTTAGTCATGCTGGCCACATGACCACGGGAACATCTTCGGACAGCGCTGGGTCTTTGGCTTTGAAATGGAGATGAGTACCGCAACCCTAGAGTCGGACTCGACTGGCTTTCGAGCAAGGGAACCTTTACCTTTACCTTTAATTAATAGGGTCATTCCGCACTAGATTTTAAATCCTGGTTCAACCCTGTCCCCCAACTTACATTCTACACTACATTCAAGTTCACCCCTGTAATTATCTCTGGGTATATTTTGTTTCCACATTACACTGAGGTCACCCGGTTTTGCCCCACACTTGTCCTGGGATAAACAGATGTTATTATAACCAGAGATAAATGCCAGGTATTCTGTTGTGAGTCGAACTCTGATAACACCGGGGATGAGATCCAAGTGCATAAAGGACCTATACGCTGGAAGTGACTCAATGTCACTAAACACACACACAGCTAGGGAGGAGTGACACACAGCACTAAGGTCAGTGTCACAACCTGCCTAGTGTTTTTATATCTCTGCTGTGTGCACTTCTGCTATGATTTCTTTTGGCTGGAATTCAGTGGGCAGCTGGCTGACCGAGCACTGGATGCATCCATGCAGAAGCACGAAAGCAGAAATGCCGTGCCGCTTTTCACCTTGCGACTGGAGGCCCCTCTATGTCCAGAGTAACTGGTTGTCCACAGTGGCTGGCCACCGTGTGAGACAGGATGCTGGACTAGACGGACTAGTGTCCTGACCCAGCAGGGCTCTTCTGATGTTCTTATGAAGGCCTCTATGACCTGTTGTTGGCCCTCCAGAGGAACTGCTTGGCCACTCTGTGAGACAGGATGCTGGACTAGATGGACCTTCACTGGTCTGATCCAGCAGGGCTCTTCTGGTGTTTTAATGAAGGCCTCGGCCTCTATGCCCTGCTGTTGGACTTCCAGAGGAACTGGCTGGCCACTGTGTGAGATGGGATGCTGGACTAGATGGACCACTGGTCTGATCCAGCAGGGCTCTTCTGATGTTCTTATGAAGGCCTCAGCCTCTCTGCCCTGTTGTTGGCCCTCCACAGGAACTAGTTGGCCACTGTGTGAGATGGGAGGCTGGACTAGATGGACCACCGGTCTGATCCAGCAGGGCTCTTCTGATGTTCTCATAAAGGCCTCGGCCTCTCTGCCCTGTTGTTGTCCCTCCAGAGGAACTGGGTGGCCACTGTGTGAGACGGGATGCTGGACTAGATGGAACACTGGTCTGATCCAGCAGGGCTCTTCTGATGTTCTTATGAAGGCCTCGGCCTCTGTGCCCTGATGTTGGCCCTCCAGAGGAACTGGTGGGCCACTGTGTGAGTCACGATGCTGGATGAGATGGACTACTGGCTGGGTCCAGCCAGGCTCTTCTTATGTTCTTATCTCTGTAGCCTGGAATTCTGGGAGATCTCCAAACACCACCTGGAGGCTGGTCACCTTGTTGTCTGTTGTGGGGAGGGGAAGGGAAGGGAGCTTGTAAACCGCTCTGAGACTCCTTTGGGTAGTGAAGGGCAGGGTATAAATCCAATCTCCTCCTCCTCCTCTCTTGTGGATCCTGCTGAGTTGACCTCCCAGCCACGACACCCATCATTTTGTGGCACACGCTTTGAGAAGGGTGCCAGCTCCGAGCCACTTGGTGGAAGGGGTAGGTTGCCCAGGGATCATTGGTTGATTATTAACTTCTGTTGCAAGTCCCAAAACAGGGCCAAAGTTTGTGCCCTTGTTTATCTACTCTGGTGAAGCCCTCACCCCCCCCCCTTCGGTCATCAATACGTATATCTGCAAAGTGGTTAACGGTGACTGGGACACGCAAGGCTTCAGAGGGTTACTGCAAAAGCAGCAGCGGCCAGTGGACACCGGAAAGGAAGGAATGATCGGGCGTCTCTGTGGGGTTCCATCTTTCTGATCATGTTGTCAGTCTGGGTTGGGGGAAAGGAGGACGTGGAGGGGTGGGGTGGAAGACGTCTGGAATCTGGCACTCCGTCCAAACGGTGGGTAAGGGCCCTCCAGTGCTGAAACCTCTGTAAGGGATTGCTGGCAGGGTCAAGAGGCGAGCGATCCTCTTCCCCTTCCGATGGTGGAGGGCCAAAAGGAATACTTCCACCCGCCTTCGCGGAGACACTGGGGCTTATGTCTCAGCTGGAACGCAACACAGGAGAAGGGACAATCCACAGCCAAGGACTTTCCATTTAGAAATGTGTCCTGGGCCCTGGGAAGAAGACTCTGAAAGGAAGTGTCCTGTTCTCCCGGCGAGTCGTGAGAAACACGTCTGGGACACCAGGGAAGCTGGTTGGCTTGTTTACTGTCCTTGAATCCCAGAGAACCAGCAAAAGTCAAAAGGGAGCAGAGAGCTTTGGTGCCTGGTCTCTGCCCACTTTGCGTGGGTCGCGATGGGGACACCAGCCCGGTTCGCGAGGCCGTGCCGCTCGATCAGCGCCGTTCTCCTCCTGGAAATGCTCTTTCTCCTCCTGTTCTGCCGACACGGTAAAGGATCCTTCTTTCCTGCCACTTGCTGGGGGTGGTTCTGGCTTGGTGGGTGGGAAGAAAAAAGGGAGGGGGCAGCTAGTTGTGCCGGAGCGCCACCGTGGAAAGAGATCATGGGGTTGTCAACTCCAGCTTGGGAAATTCCTGGAGATTTGAGGGTGGTGCCCGGGGAGGCTGGAATTTGGAGCTCAGCAGAGGCGTAATGCCAGAGATCCCCCGGCCCCACCTGGAGGTTGGCAACCAGGGGTGGCAGGCCAAGCCCTCACCAAGCGACTCTTCTGACAAAGGCCTGCTGCCCATTGTGTTTTCACTCCGGTTGCCATTTGGGGTTGGAGATATCCTGGAGATTGGAGGGGAGCCTGAGGAGCTGGACCTAGAGACACCAACTTCGGGGAGAGCGCTCCTACTGTGGCGTAGGTGCTTGCTAAGAAGGGAGTTTTAGAAATTCAACCCCTAAGTGGGTCAAAAGGGGGAAAATGTGCTCCCCCATTGATTCCTATGCGGCTCCCGGGCAGCTGCCTCTCTGCACCCCCCAGTCTCTGATTGGTCAGCTGCAGAGCTCAGTGTTCTGAGGTAAAAAAACCCCCCAACAGTTACAGGGGACTGCACATGGCTAATGACAGTTGAGGATTGCAACAGCGCAGTCATTTTGATGCAATAGTTCAGACCAAGAGGTGTCAGTGATCAGACACTGTTAAATAAACAGAATATTGCAAGAGTGCTACTGTTTGCAGCATGTTTTTATGTTAAGTAAAAAAGACACCCCTTTGTGTTTGTGTCCTTTATAAAGTTTACATCTCCACTACCTGGCATTACATTTTATGACACACGTCAGATCCGGCCCTCATAACAAATGAGTTTGACACCCCTGCTCTAGGGGAATGGATCTCTGTAGCTTGGATAGCAGTTGTAATTCTGGGAGTTCTCCAGGCCCCACCTGGAGTTTCGAGCTGCAGTGTTAGAAGAGTCAAACAACAAATATATACACTTCAAAAACCTTATTTCTAAGTTAAAGTTCCGTCTTATAAAAGTGCATTGTGTATTATTCATAATATGCTAAGACAGGTATATATTCATTACATGCGATATCAACAATAATAATCAGTCTGTACAATCTAATAGCTACCAGTCAATTTACATCCTTTTTACACAATCAACCCCAACGAGAGTTTCTAGAATTGTACACCCCCTTCTCCTCGCTTGAAAGTGTTCCAAAGGGGGAAGTTTCCTTTTGTGGTTACATTGAAGTTTAAATTGATGTTTGTTGCTGGTCCTACAAAAGGCCCATTAAGCCGCTGACAATCATAGACGGAGCGCTCCTGGTCTTTCTCAAGGCAACTCTTGTGTCCACACAGGGTGTTCAGCCACATCCTCCTTTAGCCTGCGTGGGTGAATGCAGTAACTTTCCCACAAGAATAAGGCCTCTACCTCCAAGTCTGGTGTAGTGCAAAGGTGTCAAACTCATTTGTTATGTGGGTCAGTTCTGACATAAATGTCACTTTGTCGGGCGGGGACACGTGTGCTATAAAATGTACCAGAGATAGAAACTGTATAAAGGACAGCAGCTGGTAAGCTCCGAGTTCGTGTACCCAGGGGTCATTTCGTAGAAAAAGAGGTGCAGGAGCTCATTAGCATAACTCATTAGCATAACTATTTGCATAGGCCACACCCCCTGATGTCACTGGAAGTGTGTCAGAAGGCAACACCCACCGCTCAGGCTCCACTGGACTGTTTTGGATGGCTAGCTATTGGGGGGCGGGGGACGTGCAGATCTTTCCTTGCAGAGGAGGGAGAGCTTATACCTGAATAAAACTTGGTCTTAAAGGTGCCACTGGACTGTTTTGGGCCGGGGGGGGGGGCTCTGCAGCTTACCTGGCTGCTCCTTGCTCTGACTGAGGGCTGCTGGGAGCAGGGGGTGGGGCTTGTTGCATGTGCCCGCCCCCTGGGCTCTTTACTGCTGGAGCTCCGCTCCTGTGTGCTCCCGCAGGAAATGACCCCTGTACATATATATTTGGTGGTGGGAAGTGCCGTCAAGTCGCAGCTGAATTATGCCAACCCCGTATCGTTTTCAAGGCAAGAGAGGAATGGAGGTGGTTTGCCATCGTCTGCCTCTGCGTAGCAACCTTGGGCTTCCTTGATGGTCTCCCATCCAAGTACTAACCAGGGCCGACCCTGCTTAGCATCTGAGATCTGATGAGGTTGGGCTTGGCTGGGCCGTCCAGGTCAGGACAGGTGCTGGGAAGTGCTATCAAACGCGGCCGACTCATGGCAACCCCATACAGGCCCGTAGCCAGGATTTTGTGGCTTGTGGGGCAGATTTTTCCCCTGGTGGGGCTGAAGTTAGTGCAGAAAGAAGAGCCATGTAGCCAACAGAAAGCTGTTACCAGGAGAGATCGCTAAACTGCAAGCTGTCAACCACTTGAGATGACAGTTCTCAGCTGCTGCAAGTCAATCACTTCTGCCAGCCGAAACAACAATTCTGACAACAAGCCGGCAGGAGGGGACGATGACTTCTGTAGTCAAGAAAGCTAACACCTAGGGCAGAAGCACTTGACTTCTATAGTCAATAAAGCTAACATTTAGGCAGAAGAACTCCCCTAAAGGAGACCAGTATCTGGACACAGAGTTAGAAGGGATCCCAGAGGTCACCTACTCCAACCCCCTTGCTTGGTGTGGGCATTAGTCGACTACAGCACCCCACTCTGCTTAAAGGAGTGCACGCCTTTTAAAAAATGTTTGATTGAAAAAAGCGTTTACAGGATAAATTCTTGTGGGGCAGTGCCTTTAAGAAAGGGGGCAGAGCCCCCAAAGCCCCACTGTAGCTACAGGCCTGACCCCATAGCGTTTTCAAGGCAAGACATGTCCAGAGGTGGTTTGCCACTGCCTGCCTCCGTGTAGCACACCCAGTCTTCCTTGCTGGTCTCCCATCCAAGTACTAACCAGGGCTGACCCTGCTTAGTTTGGTGTAGTGCTTGTGTGTGTGGACTCTAATCTGGGAGAACCGGGTTTGATTCCCCACTCCTCCACTTGCACTTGCTGATGTGACCTTGGGTCAGTCGCAAGCTCTGGCACAGCTGTCCTTGAAAAAGAGCAGTTTGTGTCAGAGCACTTTCAGCCCCACCCACCTCACAGGGTGTCTGTTGTGGGGAGGGGAAGGGAGAGGAGTTTGTCAGCTGCTCTGAGACACCTTTGGGTAGTGAAGGGTGGGGTATAAATCCAATCTCTTCTTCTTCTTCTTCTTCTTCTTCTTCTTCTTCTTCTTCTTCTTAGCTTTCTTCTTCTTCTTCTTCTTCTTAGCTTCCGAGGTCTAACAAGATCGGGCTCACCGGGCCATCCAGCTCAGAGCATATATTTTTTTTTGGGGGGGGGGCTGAAGGAAGGATGTTCTGTTCCGACTCCCCCTTCTTTCCCCTGCCCCCCCGTTGTGATTGTCTCTGGTTATCCCTGCACAGTTTCTACCCACTGCAAGATCTCGCGCTGCAACTCCGAGTACCTGGCCGCCACGCAGGACGTGCGCGGCCCCAGCACGACCGCCGCCTACTGCACGGCCTTGCGATCCTACTCCCGATGCACCCGGCGGACGGCCCGCACCTGCCGCGGCAACCTCGCCTACCACTCTGCCGTCTACGGGATCGAGGACCTCATGATCCAGAACAACTGTTCCCGGGAGGGTCCGACTTCGCCTCCCTGGCCCCCTGCCCCGGAACCCAACAGGCAGAGCTTCGAATCGCTGGATATCTGTGACTATGAGAAGAGTTATGCTCACAAGCACAGCCGGCCCCCTGCGTACCAGCACTGTGCCACCTTTGGGGACCCCCACGTGCGGACTTTCAGCGATGAGTTCCACACCTGCCGAGTGCAGGGTTCCTGGCCGCTCCTAGACAACCACTATCTGTTTGTGCAGGCCACGAGTCATCCCATAGCGGAAGGGTCTAATGCCACAGCTGTTGGCAAGGTAAAGACTTTTGGCTTCCAAAACTCCCCCTTGCTGTTTTCCTTTAGGCACATCTGCCGATCAGGTGTGTAGCTACGGCGGGGCATTTTGGGGCAACGCCCCCTCATTAGCAAGCACCGCCCCATCTGAGCGGCTCACCTGCCTGCGGCCGGTTGCCTGTGGGAGGGCTCGCTGCTCACGGCTTGTGTGGCATTTAAACGGGGGAGCCGAGAGCTCAGAGAACTTGGCTCCCCGCTCAAGCCACAAGCTGGCCGCAGCGAGTAGATGAGAAAGAGCCTCTTCCCTCTCTACTGCTGGCTGTGGGCGGGCTTGCCGCTTGTGGCTTGAGTGGCGTTTTTTGTCTGTGTGATGTCACGACTGACGTCATGCCCCCCCTCGGTGCCCCCTCCCAAATTCCTGGCTATGCCCCTGCTGCTGATGCAAGTGGTAGAAAGCGCTGTCAAGTCGTAGCCAATTTATGGCAACCCGAGGGGTCATTGCCTGCGGGAGCGCAGAGGAGCGGAGCTCCGGCAGTAAAGAGCCTAGGGGGCGAGCACATGCAACAAGCCCCACCCCCTGCTCCCAGCAGCCCTCAGTCAGAGCAAGAAGCAGCCAGGTAAGTTGCAGAGCCCCCTGGTCCAAAACAGTCCAGTGGCACCTTTAAGACCAAGTTTTATTCAGGTACAAGCTCTCCCTCCTCTGCGAGAACAGATCTGCACATCCCCCCCCCAATAGCTAGCCATCCAAAACAGTCCAGTGGCACCTTTAAGACCAAGTTTTATTCAGGTACAAGCTCTCCCTCCTCTGCGAGAACAGATCTGCACATCCCCCCCCCAATAGCTAGCCATCCAAAACAGTCCAGTGGCACCTTTAAGACCAAGTTTTATTCAGGTACAAGCTCTCCCTCCTCTGCGAGAACAGATCTGCACATCCCCCCCCCAATAGCTAGCCATCCAAAACAGTCCAGTGGAGCCTGAGCAGTGGGTGTTGCCTTCTGACACACTTCCGGTGATGTCAGGGGGCGTGGCATATGCAAATAAGTTATGCTAATGAGTGATGCTAATGAGCTCCTGCACCTCTTTTCCTACGAAATGACCCCTGGGCGACCCCGTAGAGCTTTCAAGGCAAGAGATGAACCAAGGGGGTTTGCCGCCTCCTGCCTCTGCATAGCGACCCTTCCTTGCTGGTCTCCCCTCCAAGTGACAACCGGGGCCGCCCCTGCTTAGCTTCTGAGATCTGATGAGATCAGGCCAGCCTGGGCCGCCCAAGTCAGTGCAGACAAACAGAGGTGAGTTGGCCATCGCCTGCCTCTGCGTAGCAACTCTGGACTTCTGTGGTGGTCTCCTACTGACCCTACTTAGTTTCCTTGATCTGATGAGATTGGCCACCCAGGTCTGCTCAGCGATTCAAGAGGGTGGATTAAACCAGGAGGGAAGACGATAACCGCTGTGGTGACGACTGGTGTACGAGGACAGGATCCCATCCCCCTAGGTGGCAGAGCGCATGCTGCGCATGAATAGGGTCTCACATCCAAAGGCCAGAGAGACTAATCCTCCATCACCACAGACAACACCGTAGCTGGATCAGTCATCTGACTTAAGGCCGGGCAGGTTCATGCGCTTACCTCAATGCTGCTTAGAGAGGCATTTGCTGGCAGGGACATTTCCAGCAAGGGGAAAGTTCGTAAGAATGTTAAGAGATCAGATCAGACCAGTGGTCTACCAGGTCCATCATCCTGTTTCATGCAGTGGCTACCCAGTGGCTGTGGAGGGCCCATGAAGAGGGAAGAGAGGCTGAGGCCACCACCCGATGATGCTTTTCCCTTGACTAAAGAGCATAAGAACATAAGAGAAGCCAATGTTGGATGAGGCCAATGGCCTATCCAGTCCAACACTCTGTGTCACACAGTGGCCAAAAACACCAGGGGCCATCAGGAGGTCCAGCAGTGGGGCCAGAACACCAGAAGCCCTCCCACTGTTCCCCCCCCCCCCGAGCACCAAGAACACAGAGCATCCCTTGCCCCAGACTGAGAGTTCCTAAGAACATAGAACATAAGAGAAGTCAATGTTGGATCAGGCCAATGGCCCATCCAGTCCAACACTCTGTCACACAGCGGCCAAAAACACCAGGTGCCATCAGGAGGTCTGGCAGTGAGGCCGGGACACTAGAATCAGGAGGTCCAGCAGTGGTGCCAGGACACTAGAAGCCCTCCCACTGTTGCCCCCCCCAAGAAGACAGAGCATCCCTTGCCCCAGACGGAGAGTTCCTATCTATACCTTGTGGCTAATAGCCTCTGATGGACTTCTGCTCCAGATGTTTATCCAATTCCCCCTTGAAGCCGTCCATGCTTGTAGCTGCCACCACCTCCTGTGGCAGTGAATTCCATGTGTTAATCGCTCTTTGGGTGAAGAAGGGCTTCCTTTTATCCATTCTAACCCGTCTGCTCAGCAATGACACTGTTGGCTGATGAAGCCCCCCAAGGACAGCAAAGTTCCTTACCCTTCTGCAAGCCCTGCAAGAGGACGCTCGCCCCTGTGACCCCAGAAATGCAGCTGTTGCTTCCTGGCTCAGCCTGCCTGTTTTTTGGAGCTTGGCTGGA